TAGAGCTGGAGCTAAAAACTTTAGTAGAACCGAAGCCTGGAGCCAGAGTTAATTTTTAGACCTCGGCTCCAAAGCCTTGCTTAATATACATTAAAACACCAACTTTTTTTAGCTTTTAGTTGGCGTGTGAACAGATACATATCCTTCTAATTCAACGTTAGTTATAGAGAGATCGTTATCGTACAAGTTAGATTCAGTAATCCCAATGATGTCAGGTAAATTATCAAAAGATGCTAATAGTATTTTAAAGTCGTCAATATCGTAAGGTAATGAAGATATGTTTATGTGAAAATAACTTAAAGAATTTTGGAAGAAGTTATTGTACATAGAAACATCTACAAATTCACAGTTAATTGAAGTGGAAGATAAGTCATTTAAGTCCCCAAAAAGTTTTTTTAAATTTGTATTTTCACATAGATTTTTAGTGACTTTCCAGCAAGTAGGGTGGATCCTAAATGTTAGAGTATGGAAGAAATTTTTTTGTGCAGATTAGACAATACCAAGTAGTTAAAGTTTTGACTTTTTCATATAATACATAATGTTCTTACTTAGACACTATCTGACTGATATTTGAGCTTAGATCAGATATAATACCCATTCAAAACAAAAATTACAGACGAAACATTATTTGGTGTAATCCCCCATATAGTAAAAATGTTATAACAAAGATAGGTAATCTTTTTAAAAAGATAATTGATGCAAGCTTTCCTGTTGGTCATTTATTGCACAAGATTTTCAACAGAAACACCATTAAAAATCAAAAATTCAAAATAATTTTAAAAATCTATATATATATATATATATATATATATATATATATATATATATATATATATATATATATATATATATATATATATATATATATATATATATATATATATATACATATATATATATATATATTTAAGTATATTTCTATATTTAAATATAAAACGCTCTGTTTTTGAAAAAATATATATTTCTTAAATATTAAGCACTTTACAACGATCAAGAGTTTAATATTTTTAATACTAAATCATACAACAACAATATATATATATATATATATATATATATATATATATATATATATATATATATATATATATATATATATATTTATATGTGCATATATATATATATATATATATATATATATATATATTTATATGTGCATATATATATATATATATATATATATATATATATATATATATATATATATATATATATATATTGTGTGTGTGTGTGTGTGTGTGTGTGTGTGTGTGTGTGTGTGTGTGTGTGTGTGTGTGTGTGTGTGTGTGTGTGTGTGTGTGTGTGTGTGTGTCCTTACAAAATAAAATATTTGTTTGCTATAAATTTTGTCAATGTATTTTTATGTTATTGTTATAAAAGACGTTTTATATTACGCGTGTCTTTGCGGGATTAAAAAAGTATACTTACTTATTAGATAATCCATGAGTAGATTGAGAGTAAGCATTAATTTTTACTTGAAAACTAGTCTTGTTGTTTTTTTCTGGTTTAAAAAATACCTCAAATAGTTTAGGTATAAACATCATTGTCATAGTCGTGAGATTTACTGTCAATATGAGAAGCGCAATGGCTGTGATTCGCTCTTCGTAATTTTCAATGCCGAAATAAATTGGAAAGTAAAAAGTCAACATAATGCTACAAATTCCCGTACTGTACGCGATTGAGAGTGTTTCGTTAAAATAAGAGGGGAGGTTTCGAGCATGAAAACTTTGAGCCGAACTTATCAGCAACAAACAAATAACATATAGAATTTGAGCAGTTAGTTGAGAGTCTGCTGTGCATTTACAATTTATGGTCTTTTTTTCGTAGTTTATATTCGATACAACACGAGGTGGTGATTTTATCAGTAAAATGACTCCCAGTAGACTTTGAACGATCAAAATAAAACTCATCGCCGTCAAATCAATAGATGTAGCCAATAATAATTGCTTTTTAGTAATACGACGCGTTTTTTTAAAAATGTAAATATATTTTCTGGTTTTTATAAAAGTAATTGATGTGGTTGTGGCAAGCAATAAACCAAATAAAATGTGTCTAGTAGAACAAATCATGTAATCACATTTTTCAGTGTAAAATACGGGTACAAAGAATGCAATTAGCAAATGACATAAGTTCTGAATTACTGACAAAACAACGTTTGATGATTTTACAATTGGTGTTTTTCTTTTTAAAATTAACATTACAATGATAGTAATACTTAGCAAAAAAGAGAAACTAGCATACGTAGTTGTTATTAAAGAACTGATGCTACGAAATGTCAAGTCAATTGTCAGATTTGATATGCAGGCTGTTTTACCTTTATTTGAATTATGACCAATAGGGCACGGTCTACATTCGTTTTTTCCATATTCTGCTCTAAAATAATTTTCAGCACAAGGCTTACAAAGTTGGTTTTTTCTTTTTGTTGTGTTTGAATTGAACAAAAAAATTTTTTGTTCAAACCCAGGTTGACAGTTTTTGATGCATTTGAAGAAGTTCAAACAGAATTCTTCATTTGGTTTTGAAAAAGATAATTCAGTGTGTTTATAAGTATTGTTTGAAAATTGGACATAGGACTTTTTTAAAAAACTCTCGAAAAAAGGAAGATATAGAGGTTCATCAAAATGTTTACTTATAAAATAAATGAAATCTAACAAAATTGGCTGCACAAGTTTATTCGAGTTATAGTATTGCGAGTAATAATACAATTCTGTGACTGTTTCACGAAAGGTGCTTAAAATGTTCATTATTTCCGTTACATCGAAAAAAGAAATTGTATTTATAACTACTGTTCTTATAACTACCTGTTTTTTTTCACAAGCTTGCAAGAATTTTTGTAAGCTTTCTAATGAGTTACACATAATAAAAATATTTTCTTCATTTGGACCTATCTCATCTGCAATGGTCAACATGTAAGACACGTTATAAGCCTCAACCAGATATTCAACAAAACATAACTCATTGTATTGAACAAATGATGATAAAATATTATAGTTTTCATTAGCTCCATTAGTGATCGTCACAAAAATAAACTTAGTAACGTTTAATGATATACTTAAGTTCATAAATAGGTAATTGTAAGAATTTATATATAATGGACGAAATTTTTTTGTGTAGATTAACTTTTGATTATTATCATTAAAATCCAAAACAAGAAAATTACTGTACGGATCAACGATGTTCGAAATAATTACTGTTGATTCTTCATCAATATCCGTTAATATTATTTGCTGACTGTTATTTACTTTTAAAAGGCAGGTTTTATCAAGAATCATATTTAATGTAATCTCAATAGAAGTAAAAAAGTTATCTGAGATGAATGCCGAAAAATCTTTACCTTCAAATGTTTTATTCTCAAAAAAATTCGTTGAGTTCACATTGAACTGTGCGATACTTTCACGAAACAACTTATTGCCGTAATATTCTATAAGTGTAATATGATTTTGGCTCTTTTCTGTAAAATATTCGCATTTTATAAAAATAAAGATTAGTCTTGATGCAATTGCCACAAAGTAGTAGTTTACCAACATTTTTACTTCAAGTAAAAGTTGATAAAAGTAACATAGTTATATTAATTTGTGTTTATTTTATACTCTTAAAAACAAACATAAATAAATAATTCTATTTTTGACGAAATAATGTTTTTATTTATAAGATTTAAAATATAAAATCCATTGAATTTATCTCACAAATTAAATTAAAAATGAATTTATACATCTTATCAGGATGTTGTTTTTTTTTAAATAAAAAAATACAAAAATGATTTCTCTTGGAAACTTACATAACATTATGTAAGTTTCTTAAGAAAATTATTTTGTATTTCTATCAAAAAAAAAAAACTTTTATTTATTTTTACATATTATGTAACATCATATTCATTGATTGAAAAAATCAAATTAAGAAATATTAAACAAAAGATAAAATGTATGCAGATGATAAGTCTTTTTTTAATTAAAAAAATTGTTTAATGTTTTTTACTGGATAAAATGGCCTCTGAGAAGGTTAATACTAGCTTAAACAAAATTACAGTATTTTTAAAATTGTATGCAAAAGTGTGAAAATAATTTAAAAAATAATGACTATTACACAGTCATTATTTTTTAAACAAAGAGTAAAATATACAGTATAAAGTTTAACATAGGGTAAAACACCCAGTGTTCGCCAGGTGTTCCAGTCGTCGCCAGTTTTCCATTAAAAAACATGCATGTCAAAAACTATTTGGTTGAAAGTGCCGAAATAGTGTCTAGAATGAACGCCCATCATTGCTTTATATTTGACAAAAGTTTGACGATCGTAACTAAATAAATAAACTCTCAGGATTTTTTTGAATGAAAGTGTGTCACAAAAAAACCTTAATCCTTAAAATTTTTTTTCAGAAATCTTTTTAAACAATTACATAAAAAACATATTAAATATCAATTCAATTTAACTTTTTTTATTCCAGATTGATGGGAAGAACAAGGAGAAGATTGTACCAGGGCTATTCTTGGAAAAAAAATTAAGGGGGGCAGGGTTAGGGGGGGTGGCGAAGACTGGAACACATAATAGTACCTAGTCCAGTCTTCGCCAGGTAAATTTTTTTTCTTTAAAGTGGCGTATATGGGCTTAATGGTAAAATATGGACTTTGACCCATATGCCAGTCTTCGTTAGGTTGAATTTCGTTTAAAAACAAAAAACTTATAGACGTTTTAAATTTGTCCAGTGTTCGCCACCCCCCTTTTGCCAGTGTTCGCCATCGGGAACAAATTATTATTTTTGATTTTTTATTAAATGTATAAATATAGCTAAGTATTTATTTTTTATTTCAGAAGTAGGTTATCTGTTAACCTAGTTATTAAACAATACTAAAGCAGTCCAAATAGGGCTATATAACTTTATTAAATTAATTTATATATCAAATTAAGACTTATAATAAATAGTTTCAATAAGTACCTAGGTACATAATATCCATTTAGAATTATGAATACTAGAAAATCAAAGGGTTCACGTATGTCTACAATAAGGGTTCACGTATGTCTACAAGAGATTCTTACACTGAGGAGGACATTAGAAAGGCAATTGAAGAAGTAAAAAGGTAATAAAATTAGCATGCATTAATAGACATAATTTCAATGCTTAAATTGCTTAGTGTGTAGTCATAATAGCCTAATGCCTATAATACAATTAAAAGAAATACATAGGGTAGGGCTGCCTAGTACTGATAAAGTAGTTGCATACCTAAATTATACTGTGCTATATTTCAGTGGTGAAAGAACTGCTTCAGAGGCATCCAAGTTGTACAATATCCCGCGCACCACATTGAGGGACAAAATAAGTGGTAAAGCGCCTGTTGTAAAAAAGATGGGCCCACAAACCTACCTCACTGAAGCAGAAGAAAATGTTTTGGTGAATTTTATTGTTAGCGCACAGAAACGTGCCCACCCTGTTACCAAAGAAACCATTATGTCATTGGTAACTAGTCTTCTTTCGGATGAAAGGTTACTTATGGAAGTAAATAGAAACCGTCCCTTTCAATTTGGAAGATCAAGGACTCGACAGCCAGGGAATAAATGGTAAGTAGGTTGTGCCTAAGTTATAAAAGTTGACCTATAGGTAATTAAAATAAAAAAAAATGTTATAATTTTAATAACGAGTCATAAGATTTTTCATTATAAATTAACTTTATAAAACATTTGTAGCTTAATAAATAAAGCTTATAACAATTGATACAGACATAAAATTAGTCTAATAGAAATAGCCTATACCTAGTCGACTAATTTAGCCATTATTTTCTAAGGTATAAGCTATTCCTGTCGAGGCATCCTAACATAGTTGCTCGCATGACTGAATCATTAAGTGCGAATAGAAGAAATGTCTCACAAGCTGTCATACAACACTTGCTGATATAAGATCGTACCTCTCTGAACATGACCTTCTTGAAATCCTTCAGGAACCCCAGCGTAACTATAACATCGACGAGTCTTGGTTCCAGTTTTCATCCAAGGTTTCCAAAGTTTTAGCTGCTAAGGGTTCTAAAAATGTACCGTATGCGACATCTTCAAAAGAAAAGGAAAGAATCACTGTTCTAGGTACATTTTCATTTTATTATTTGCTCATTTTTATGTTATTTCTGTAATGCTTTTCTTTTAATGCTGCACTATAAATTGCTTTTTTTTCAACATATCTCTGAGCATGATAGCTTAGCATGATACTAGCTTGGCCTGCTTGATAACTTTTGGTTTTTTTGCACTTTTCTTTGCAGCTAACGTTGGTGCCGATGGCTCTCTCCCTCCACCGCTTATAATTTATCCTAACCTTCGTATTCCTATGAATGTATACGAAGCCATTCCATCCAGTTTATTTGCAATCGGAAAAAGTGAATCGGGATATATTAACCATCAGGTGCTTTATGAGTATCTCACTAATGCATTTGACCAATGGTTAACTCAACATAATATACAAATACCAGTTATAGTTTGGTCCGACAAACATGAATCGAGGCTGCAATTTCATTTAGTTAAAACTTTAGCAGACCTGCAAATAATGCTTATATTGATCCCACCAAACTGTAGCCATTTCATGCAGCCTTAGGACGTAGAATTGTTTGGCCCTATGAAAAATGAATGGGCTAAGTGTGTAAATAGGTTCAGGGCTGCCAACCCAAATGAATACGTTACCAAAGAGTCCTTTGCAGGAATGTTCCTGCCAGGGTCATGAGTAGAGAGAAAATAGTAAAATCCTTTAAAAAATGTGGCATACAGCCATTTGATCAAGACGCTCCTGATTATACCAAGCTTACTCTTGAAGAAGCCCACTCCGGAGACAGTCGAATATTTGAAGGAGTGCTTCAAGACGGTCGTGTTGAAGCTTCCACTCAAGTTGAAAATTTTTTTCATGTCAATGTTGCGACACAGACATCCTCTGACATCATCTTGTCTGGTAACACAAGTACTAGCACGATGGAAGGACTGGGAGCAGGCCCAAACATTCACCTGTAAGTGATAGCTAGGTATTAGTGTCTAACATTTGTATCAATATAAAATAATAAGCCCAGCTAGCTAGTTAGTAGCTATTATAAACCAATTTTTATTTATAGCTATTACAGGGTAATAAAAGTTAGTAACAATTATAAACTAATTTTTATCTATATTACAGGGTAATAAAAGTTAGTAACTATTATAAAACAATTCTTATTTATATTACAGGATAACAAAATCATTTGATGACTTTGTCATCGATTCGCCGCGATTTGATTCACTTAGAATGGTGAAGAGGCAAAATTGGTTCCAATATGTCTTTGATCGAAATCATCGGCAAGAGGATGCACCAGCTGTTGATTCCCTTGTTGTTTCCCCTGTTCATTCACCTAGTATTCATTCTAGTTCAGATGCACAGTGTTCCTCAATGTCAGCCCCTCCAAACAGGACTAGGCCTATGTTGGTAGAACCTCAAAGACAAGCAAGACCACCTGCGATTAGTCCTGCTCTTAAAAATCATAAGTGGTTCCTTTCTCCAAAAAAAGCTATCGGTTAGTGTATTAACTAGGCTACCTATATTTTAAATTTATTATTATAATTTCCATTTTTAATCTCTGTAAAATTACCACATGTAGCCTATGGTCATAAATTTACTTTATTATAACCTGATTATTATTTTAATTTTCATAGGAAAGGTTCGTACAGTGGCTCAAGAACTTCATGCCACATCTGTAGTGACTTCAGATAAAGTTGTCTCGATGCTAGAAGGTATTAGGCTTGAAAAAAAAAAACAAGAACAAGCAAAAGAGGAGAGAAAAACGAAGCGCTTAGTTGCTGAATTAGCTAAACGCAACAAGCCAAGTGTTCCAGCTAAAAGAAAGTTGCTGCAAGCAACAAAAATGGCAAAGAAGAAACCTGAAAAATTTGAATCACTAAATAAATTAAAGTTGGATAAAAATGAACTTATTTACAAAACTCAACAAAATATAGTAGATTCATCTTATAAAGTTTCATTTATAATAGCACTGAAAATGAAATCTCACACGTCAACTGAGGAAGTTGCAATATTTTTTTTTTTAAATATCAAAGTAAAGCCGCAGGTAGATGCTTATTCCGTTAGATGGTAAAATGCATTAGCGCAAAAACCAAAGTTTCCTCGTCTGACTTCCAAAGTTCACGGGAAAAAAGTCAGAGAAAATATCGTCTAAATTTAAAGATGCTTATTGGTAAGTTTATTTAAAAATCAAAATTTTTGACATTTTTAATTCAATCCATTTAAAGTAAAATGCTAAATAAAATTGACAGTGAAAGTCTTTTTGATATTTTTCCTGATAAAACTATATTGGGGGCTTGGCGATTAGTCTATTTTGTCTTCTTCTTGTCCCCGCCATTTGTACATTTTACAAATACATGAGATATAATCATTTTAAACGGCAAATTAAAAATTAAGAAAAAAAATAAATAAATATTGTTGAAAGGTGTTTCAAATCTATATATTCAGAAATTGATTTTTTGTACTTTGCGACTGTGCCGGTGATATTTGAACTATTATATCGAGTTAAAGTAAAATGTAGCAATACATTAAATGTGCCAATACATTATTCATCAGGAATATGTAGCAATACATTATTCCGCTAGAAGATTGTTAGTAAAAATTTATTTTATTGCTGAAATTTTGTAGTTCTTAAACTGTTTTTATTTACCAATTATAAATATTAGTTCTGAAAACGTATGAAAACACTAATGTAACGGGATTCGGTGATAAGCCAAGTTTGTCATCTTTTTGCTCCAGCCAGGATTTTCTATTATTGTAAATTTATTTTTTTTAATTTTTAACAAATTGCAAAAATAAAAAAAAAATAAAAAAATAAAAATAAAAAAAACCCGTTTAATTTAATCGTTTATTTCATACAGTAATTTTTCAAAACAAAAATCATTATATGCACAGTGGGTGTGCCGAAATTAAAAAAAAAAATGTGTTTAATGTAGATTTAATGTTAATAGTTGTTTTCCATACTTAGAAAGCTTTAATAAAATGATATTTGTTAGTCATAAGCTTTTAAATTAAAGTTTATACAACCTTTTAATGTGATTTTTTTTTACACCTTTAAACAAAAAATTATACAAAGATTACGAATATATATTTGAAAAAAACTAGTATAAACTTGAAAAAGAGTTACTACTCAAAATTAATTGAAAATAATAAGAACGACTCTAAACGTAATTGGAAAATATTAAGTAAAATTGGTGGGAAACAAAAAATTTGCTCAGATTCCCTACCGCAGGTGATTAGAGTGGATAACAAAGATGGTTTTGAACCTAGATTAATAGCTCATGAGTTTAACAAATTCTTGATTGATATCGGTTCCAAACTAGCAAATAAAATTCCTAGTACCCAAGTTGTGTTCAATAACTTTTTAACACCGATGGATGATTGCATTTGCTCCAATAATTTATCTTCTGAGCTATCATTTGAGGAGTTTCAAGTGTCGTTTAAATCTATTTAAAAATAAGCCTCTGAAGCTGATAAAATAAATGGAAACATTGTCTTAGAATGCTTTGAACAATTTTTTTTCATTTTATTTATTTTTTATTTATATATATATATATATATATATATATATATATATATATATATATATATATATATATATATTTCGTCATTATTAATATAAATTTGTACAACATTTTACCGTGAAATATATGACTGGAGCAAGTAGAAGACAATACCCAGTGGGCACGGGACGTAAAAAAGACGTCCTTAAGACGTTCAAATCGCGTCCGTCCGTCTTATTAAAATCTAAACGTCTTTTGAACTTCTTTTTCGCGTCCAATCATTTATTCGTCCAAAAAATATCCAGAATGCTTTATTAAATCAAAAAAAAATCGCAAAAGCTAAAACTTCAATTATAAAAGAAGTCTTTTTACAACGACAAATAAACACGTTCTAGCTAATTTTTATTTTTTTTTATCAATGACTTGAAAATTGTGATAATGTTGATACAGGTAATGAAATTTTTACAGATAATAGAAGAAACGGTTTAAAACTGAATATATGCTATACTATGTATATATATACTTAATATACTATTAGTATAGTATTGCTATATCAAGAACCAAGTTCTAACAATTTCAAAGATTTAGACATCTCATGCAGAATCGAATTTTTCAATAGGAAAACATGTTAATGATACATAGAACAATTACCCTGATAATTCTTTGAATTCAATGTCTTTATTCGACAATATTGTGCTATTCTATAATGGGACCAGTACATTAGTTAATGATCTTTTTGAAATATTGCCAAATCAAGGTTTGGAACTTCCCAAAAGATGCATGGAGAATTTTCAAAACAACTAATGAAAAGCGACTTCCCAGCGGGCATTTTGACGTCCTAAAGACGTCCAAAAGACGTCTTAAGTCTCGTCCGTAAGATGTCCTTAGTTGGTCTTAAATGAAAGGCTTGAGGACGTCTATTCCAGACGTCCTAAAGACGTCTTATCAAGACTTTTTAGAGACGTTTTTTGCAGACGTTCAAGAGACGTCTCTGGCTGGTCTCATATGAATGAATTAAGGACGTCTTTTTCAGACGTCCTAGAA